TTGGGCATAGACCAATTGTAATGAAATTAGAATTGGGCCTCATAATTGGAGGATTCCTTTTGGTTGAAGAAAAGTGGCTGCTGGGAAATTCAAAAAAGGGGTTTTGAGTTTTTACACACACACACACACATACATAGAGAAAACGCAAAAAACAAAAAACAAAAAACAAAAAACAAAAAAAAAAAAACAAAAAAACAAAAAAAAGCAAAAGAAAAAGAAAAAGAAAAAGAAAAAGAAAAAAAGGATACGCTTTATTCATTAGCTGCATTGAGGAAGAGAATTGAGGAATATTTACACTCGGGAAGTGGCAGCTAGAGGAAATATACAGACACTCACAGAAGCCAATGGAAAAACAGAAAAAGGAAAGAGAAAAAGACGACCGAGAAAAAATTGCAAAAATTAATCATGTTCCGTCGATTTTTAGCGATATCTTTTATCCTTTTTTTTTTTTTTGTTTAATTTCAACATTATGCTAGGCTCAATTTTTTTGTGCTAGGATTTACGATGAACCTTGTATTATGAACCTTTAAATCTTAATTTTATTTATTTTGACGTTAAAACATATTTTCATTTACTAAATAATTGACATTGATTTAATTTTTATTTTTTTTACAGTTACTTATTCACTAATTGTATGAATATTGTGGCTTGTTTTACCCTCAAAAGATGGAAAATAAGTTAGACATAATGTCAATTGTCGTAGAGTCCGATAGGGAATAGAAATGTACCACTATGTTTTACATGACCTTTAAGCATTCACAAATCCTTTAATGCATTTTTTTTATGTTCGCATCCGTCATAGAAATGTAGTCGGGTCACATGTAAAAATAGGTTTAATTCCACTTGAGAGAGATCGTTAAACAAATTAGGAATATTGTTCTTCATAATTGAATCCTGATGCCAAATTTATAAAATTCGGGTTAAAGGAGATTGATATAAGGGGATTCGGGATCCTAGTACGCATTTCTTTATCATATTTTTATAAAACTTGCATTTAATTTAGGTTTTGCATTTATTTTAGTTAAATTAGATTTTGCATTCATAAGTAGGTCATTTTATTTATCAAAAAAATCACAAATTTCTATTGTTTCTATTAGGGCGAAGACAATTTGAATTTAAACTAATACAATCTCTATGGGACGATACTTGGACTCAAAATCCACTTTCTTACTTGTTAAGGTTTTAATTTGAAACATATTTTTGTGAATAGTCAGATAATATGGGCTAAACGAAATAGATGTTTTAGCCCTTTTACTATACTTTGGTTCTTTCTCATTTGAAGTACCATTTATACTTTCACAAGTTCTTTTGTTTGAATTTGCATTTTCCATGTCTTTACATGGAAAAAATTCTACAAGAATGATACATTTCTTGATTGAATTATGGTTCCCTTATGTACATTTAAAATTTTAGATGTATGTATAAAGAAACGGTATGTACTACTATTATTGACATATTTGATAAATATGCAATTAATCGTCTTAGGACCTATTTTCATTTGTTTAGATTTAGGTACTTTTTACCTCAGCCAAACACCCCAACACTTTCAAATGTTGGTGGAACGGAGGATAACCTTTTCCATAGTTCATATGTAGTTTCTTTCATTTTCTTAAGGGGCATCTTGTTAAGAATGCTATTTGCCAAAAGAATAGCCTCCCCCACAAGTTCTAGGGTATACTCGAACTTAACAACATTGCTTTCATCATCTCTTTAAGAGTTTGGTTTTTACATTCAACAACACCATTCAATTGCGGTGAGTAAGGTATCGTTGTTTAATGAATGATTCCATGCTCGGAACAATATTTTTCAATTGGTGCCCCAAATTTTCCACCTATATCACTACGAATATTCTTCACTTACCAAGTTGATTCTCACCTTTTGTCTTATAATGCTTGAATACATCTAAGGTTTCTTATTTACTTTGTAGTAAAAAGACATAACAATACTCTGTACAATCATCGATGAAAATTATAAAGTATTAGTTTGAACCAATTTCAAATTACATATATCGCTATGTGTTAGTTCTAAAAGTATCGTGTTTCTTTGAACTGAGTGAAAAGGTGTCTTGGCCAACTTTGCTTTAACACATACTTCACACTTATGATTAGGATAATCTTAAGTGCTAGAGTTAAACTTTGATTTATAAGTTTTCGCACAAATTTGTAGTTAACGTGTCCTAATCGACTATGCCATGAACAAGACAAATCAAGCACATAAACTGAATTGGAATCTTTATTCATAATGCTTTTTGGTACAATTGTTAGGACGTTTATTTTGAACATTCATTCACTAATATAATCCTTACCAATATACATATCATTTTTTTTAAGTACAAATTTGTCCGATACAAATACAAGTTTAAAGTGGTTCTTGCAAATTAAAGACCCTGAAACTAGATTTTTGTGAATGTCTGGCACATGGAGGACATTATTGAGGAATAGTTCTTTCCCAGAAGTCATTTTCAATGTGATCTATCCAAGTCCTTCAACCTTCAAACTTGTAGAATTCTCCATGGTCAATTGTTCTCCTCTCAATTCATGATAGCACCAATGTTGACTCACAAATCCCTTAGATTACCAATTGTGTTGCATTTAAAAAAAAAAATAAAAAATCACAGATAGACTAATCTCTTGAACCCCTTTAGATAAGGTATATCTTTCAACCACATTTGCCTGGGTAGTCTTCTTTGGCTTTTGATGTTCACTTGAATAATGTCCGACTTTTACACAATTGTAACAGTTACCTTTTAACTTCTTGGCATTCTTGGAGGTGTCTCTTCTTGGTGCATCACTGACATCTTACGTTTTTTGTTGATAACCTTCGAACTAGTTTCGACAAAGTTTGCTCCAAGTTGAACAATAGATTTTCTTTCAATTTTTCTATTGTCTTGTTCAATCCTCAAACGAACTATCAACTCTTCCAAGTTCATCTCTTTGCATTTGTGCTTGAGTAGTTCTTCAAATCTCTCCACAAAAGAGGAAGTTTCTCAATGATGATTGCAACTTGAAAGGATTCACTCAATTTCATCTTTTCCATATGTATGTCATGAAGTAGAATTTGAAGTTCTTGTACTTGACTTATTACGTTCTTAGAATCTACCATTTTGTAGTCTTGAGACTCGCCGACAATAAACTTCTTTGTTCCGACATCCTCAGTTTCCTACTTCTTCTCCAATAAATCTCATAAATTCTTGGTCGAGTCCTTCGAGCTACACACTCCATAAAGTGTATTGTTCAATCCATTTAGGATGTAGTTTTTATAAAGAAAATCTGAATGCTTCCACGCATTCAATGCAATAATTGATTCACAATTCTCCCTCTTGTACCTCATGAGCGGTCTCTTTTAAGAACTTTGCCAAATTCAAAGTAGTAAGACAGAACAACATCTTTTGTTGCCATCTTTTGAAATCAAGACTTGTAAACTTTTCCGAATTTTCTCCACGTGGGGTATAAGAGTTTGATATTGGTATAGCTAAAGGCAGGACCACATGGTTTGCACCATTCGTTGTTTAACTCGAAATAGTCTCAATAGTATTCATTTCTGCTACACAAACATAAATTTATCGCAAAAAATGAATGAAACAAATAGCATGCGGAGGCTTATTCCAAAGACAAAGAAAAGTGGTTTGTTTTTCAACAAATAGTCACAAAATTTTGTCTTAAGGTTGTTGGTGAGATGTGTAGGGAAATGATTGTATTTAAATTGACAAAGTAATGGTTAAGTTTAATTCTCAGGAGCATAATGAAACTCTGTGTAAAATAGAAACGAAAAGGATGGAGAATGAAAAGAAACTAAGGAAAAGAAATCTGAGGTAAGTGATTAACACTTTTCATTAAGACAAAGTTACCCCACAAAGTGCTAACGGATTACAGCAATTGTCTCCTAAGATACAACAGTTGTAACTTATGGTAGAAGCATTTCAAATATTAAGCAACAGCAAACTCGAATAAATTTTTCTCTCTACAAGAAAACAGTTATGGAATGATTTTTGGAGGTTTTTGTTTTTTTTAAAAGAGATTTGTTGTAATGTTCAATGCAAATGATCTTGGGTGCATAATAGATGTCCAAAGACTCCTATTTATAGAAGTTGAGATGTTGTAAGTGTAAAAACATGTCACAAAACTAAGCAATCTTCAACAAAGGACACATCCATTGTTGTCTTTAGTTTGTTGTTGGCCTCTCGCTTGAGTGCCAATGACATATTTTCAATAGAAACTTTTCACCCACCTGCCGTTAGCCTGTTGTTTGAGCGACAGCTTTGCCGTTCACTTGGCAGTACTATATGATTTTTCCTCTTTTTCTGCTCAGTTTTTTTTCAAATTTTGGACCACAATTTTTCATTCATCTGGAATTTGTTTTAAGATTTCAAATATACTACGACAATCTACTCGACGAGTAAAACTAGTTAGTCTATTTATTTTTATAGTTTGACTATCAGACCTAGCCCAAATATTTGATCGAAGTTGACACAAAGTCACTTTTCAAATTTATACTTAGCCAAAAAAATTTAATCTTTAAACCAAATTCCAGCAATTATAGAAAATTGTGTCGCTGACAAGCAGCCACAACGCCTTTATGAAACACGATGAGGTCCTTACATTAAAAACAAGTCTTACAAAGAAATAAACATTGATGAGCCCTTGTTTGCCATCGAAAATCAGATCATAAAAATCAAATTAAAATATGAATTTATAACTATCCGAGCCTAAAGAATTCTCGTAATTTCTATCTCTCTAATGATGAAGGCTATGAGCATTGTTTGACATCATTTTATGGAAAGCAAAATCACATAAAAACCACATAAATTTTGCCTTTGTAAGGTTGAGACGAACATTGGTGCAGAAATTTTACACAAAGATTTCTTTGTTAGAAACTAGAAGGGAGATCAGATTTGATTGTGTAAAAAAGGCTTTATCAAATGCTGTATAACTTTTAAAAGAGAAGGTGAGTATTGTGTGAAAATGCATAAAACTTAAAAGGATATAACAATTAGAAGAAAGTATACAACTCATTTGTCACAAGTCTTTTAGATCATAACACAACATTGACAAAGGTCTACATTAAAGGACATATTCTGATATTCATTTATTCAAATTAAAGGCACAACCATAAAAGAAACATTTTAAATTTAAAGACACAACTAGACAATTTCTTTATTCAAACTTAACATTTTCCTACAAGAACAAACGGCTCATAGGTTCAAGAGTAATAGATATTCTCCATGTTCAATTGGAACGCGCACTTCTCGTAATTTCCGCAACATTGTATTCTTTCGGAAAGATAAATGCACAAGTTCCTGCAACCACAATACTGGGAATCAAAAGTCACAAGATTAAATGTTTCAAAAATATTTTGACATCAGAGGTAGGGAAAATGAAGAACAGAGGAGACAAGTAAAATACAAAAAAATGTTCTGTCTGTATTATTCAGTTTCTGGGAGAATGCAGTGAATATAAACATTGAAACTCATAGAAGAAAACAACTTTTCTATTATTCAACATGTAAACAACTACAGCAGAAAACTAGAAAGTGAAACATAAACAACTTTTCTATTATTCAACATGTAAACAGCTATAACTTTCAGGAGTTTTTTGTATATATGAGTTGGAGCAGTCAAAAAGTGAAACATAAGCTCAATATGTTTATTTTGAACAATCTTCAGATTTTATTTTCCCGAATGAGAGTGGAGATAGATAAAGGGAGACCATACCAAGCAGCGAATTTTGTTCTTATCCTAAATATGAAATACAAGGTGTAAAATATAGATTGAGAGAAAATGATGGTGAAGAAACTACCTGGTCCTGATCTTTTCTACTTCAATCCATCTATGGAAATAGCTAGTTGTCATTTTCAAATGTGACTGAAGAAACTCGTTTCCGTAATCCATGCGGTAGACTTCGCAATTTCCTGCAGTTTTTAACTGCTAAAATTGAAAGCATAGGCATGGCTTTTTTCTGCACCACCCACGTCTCCAAGAAACGCAAAGTCAAGAGTTCTAAACGTTTGAGCTTCTTGAAACTAAAATTGAAACAACTCATTTCGCTTCCAACAAATGCGTCGTCTTGCAATACTAGTACCTGCAATTCCGGGAGCTTGTCCAACGTTGTCATCGGGTCTTCCTTAAGTTGAGAGCCTATCAACACCATCTTAGTCAGGCTTTGAGTGATTTTATTGTGTGGTGGTAGCTGTCCAAGATGCCCATCCATACTCAGGGTATGAAGAATCTGACAATTGAGTAGTTTTCTAAAAACAGAATGCCTTTCTTCTGTGTAACAGTCTAAGTTGTTGACCTTAATGGAAGGATACATGACACTTGTATCCTCTGAAGTCATGTCCATGCGACTGATAATCTGCTCAAGATCACCCAAAATCCCTTCAACAGTCGTAGACAGGTGTCTTAGACTCATCATTTCAAAAAGATCAGCAACATTACACATCACAGTGTCGAAGTTTTCAAGTATCTCAAGTTCTTTCAAACTTCCCAAATACAGTTTTTCATTATTGGGCGTCTGAAACATGAGCGGGAGATATAGATAAACAAGTTTCCCCAGCTTCCGCAAGACATTGGGAATGATTATTTGACTTGAAACTCGGAGATCAAGAATTTCCAAGAATGACAAGTTACCTGTTGATGATGGCAACACTCCCAGGTTACATCCTTTGAAACTCAGATACCTAAGGTAGATTGGCCATGCCATTGCCCTAGGTAGACCTCTCTCTTGAAAGTCAACCCGTTCAAAATTTAGAACCGTCAGCATTCTGTACTTCTTCCGATCAAACATTCTTCGAGGCCATTCCAACTTCGTCTGAAGATCACACTGATTTAAGAGTAAGAGGGACCTTAGATGGGTAACTTCTTCATTTCTGAACTGATCAACAGAAGTACTAGTCGTCGAGAAGGAATCGGAATCTAAATGTACAGCCATTCTACGTGCAGGATTACTAGTCAACGAGAAGGAATCGGAATCTGCACTTCTCTGAGTTCTGAGCCCGAAATCTAGAACCTTAAAGAAATATTCTTTTCCCTTCAGTAAGCAATGATCTTGCATGTTCTTATGAACCGAACAAGACTTGTATTTTCTAAAAGTTGGAGTTTCTTCTTCTTCGACCTCAACCATTTGTTTTTGTACCAGAACGCTCAAACATCTTTCTGCTAAATCCATTGTAGTTTCATTAGTTTGACAATCAGCCCGTGATATCGTGCGTTCAGCCATCCATAGAAGATACAAGTGTTCCACTTCTATCTTTGAACCCTTTGGGAACAAGCCCAAATAAAGGAAACATGGTTTCAAGTCATATGGTAAATCGTCAAAACTTAAAGCTGAAATTGATTTTTGCAATACAATTTGTTCAACTGGTAGGTCTCTACTGATTAATAACTTGATATCTAGAAGCACCATCTCCCATTCACTTAATGTTCGCTTTGCAGCTAAAACTTCCCTGACTGCAACTATAGCTGATGGTATGCCAAAGCACAAATCCAATACTTCGCGCGCTATATCCTCTGTATATGTCATACAAAAATTGTTAAGCAAATCCTAAATATAATTCTATTAATTATGAAATAATGAGACCATTACAGCTCATTTCCATTATATTGCCTGCATTAGCTCTTAATATACGATAAAAATCAGCAATAAACAAAATTCCATCTTCAAGAGAAGGAATTTGACTCTATGAAGAAAATAACAATAATAATGTGAATAGATCTTAATTATAATACACGTGTTGTGCTACCAATATCGACATTAAATATGTTGACGCTAATCCATGATTGAGCATCCTCAATGCTTTTCTGCTGTCAAATAGACAGTTCTGTTGTAGCTTTATTTCATATAATTCCTTTTTCCACTTTACTTCGAAAACTTTTCTAACTGGTATTAGTTGACAAAATTGTCAATATTCTTTTATTTCTCAAAAATTTCTGTTTAGAAATCATTCTAATGCTTAGTTAGCTTATTCTGTCGATATAGAATTGCTAGTCAAAAATTGTGCTGTTTAAATCACATTATCATTCATATGAAACTCCAAAATGAAGGTTCTGAATCCTTGGGACAGTTAGAAAAGCTCCTCGACAAAATCATTTGGCTGAGAGAATGAATTGAACTATTTTGAGGAGTTACATTCATGTTAACTAATGCAAAATTATCCAAAAGTTTCTTGGCCTGAGGCTACTACAACGGTGGATGTCAGCATCCCTTTGGCAGCACATGTTACACTCTCATCAACTGTCTCCCATACGTAAGAAGCAGAGTATTATAAGAGTCATGTTCTTTACTTTAACGGCACACGAATTCTGAAGCACTCCATGGTTTTCTCAAGGCCAGACAAAAATTCAGTTTATGGCCAACCCTGGGAAAAGCCATTGAAGGCACTTACATGGGTCTTTTTGTACCGGAAAGAAACACAGAAAGTTTGTATGGTGCACACGGTATCCGTGAGCAAGTTCTTTAGATTCAGATTTTGAGTGGATCTAGAAAAATGATGATCATTGATAGGATATATTTTTCACTCATGGGAACTTTCTAAGGTGGAAAACTAATCTTCAATATATGGTATCAGTTTTGACAATAGAATCCGAGATATCGTTGTTACATTACCAATAACAGAAGCTTTTCGAGTCAAAGTACTGTTGATTGAGATTGAAGGTTGATAAGTAAATGCTGTACTCTAGTGTATATCGAAGTGCAATTGATCTCACAAAGAACCAGGCGATCCAAGTGAAAAACTGCACCGATGTAAGGCTACATTTACTCAAGACAATCACAGATTAAGGAGTTGTGAAATAAAGGTGGTCTCAATCTGAGATGTTTGATCCAAATGTGGAGATTTGTTATATATTGGATCAAAATAAACAAACAACTAGATCAAATTCTAGATAATTTGGAAGTTTGGTTGATGGAGGAAGCCTAGATAATTTTGATTGGAAGTCGAGATTGATAAGAGATCAAATTTTATCGAGGATTGAGAGTTTGATTGGGAAGAGGACTTTGGAATGGACGAAAAAGTGTTTTGAAAGCATTGGAATCGAGACAAGACGTTCCCAGTGTCCTGGCCCCAACCAACAAAAAGAGCAACAGCAGCCTGGTGCTGGGGCACTGGTCTTGCCGAACTTCGGACAAAAGGACTACGAATTTAATTTCTGTCGGGATTCTTGCATGATATTTCATCCAAAACACCAAGATTTGGATCCTATATACTCTACGTGGTGTAGGCTCTTCAGAGGCTCAAGTAATAATAAAATAATTGTTATATACATTAGAAACTTGAGAAGATTGTTTAGATTTGGATTGATGGTATCATATCTTCTAAAACAATTTAGCTTCTTGGTATATTGAAATTCTTCTCTTCTGCTTGTGAATTTCCCTAATTTGGGTTCCGCGTAATCTTGTGTACTTGTGTGATACATTATTTTCATATAGCTTATATTATTCTCATTTTTATTTGATTCGATTTTTAACAACTCGTATCAGAGCTGACGTTTTGACAGTTCTTGGAAAGGCCAAATTGCTTATTAAAATGCGGTTTGAACAAGGTTGATTGTCTCAGGGATGACAACTATGAAATTTAAGGCTTTTAGATTGCAACAATAAAATTTCTTTGTGACGGATGAAGATGCGAACAATTCTTGCTCAATTGGATTTGAATGATGCGTTATTGAGGATTGATAAGATGCCCTCAAAAGTGACTACAGAAATAAAGTAGAAAGTGTTACTGTGTTATGGTTAAAATTAGAACAATTATGCATGACTTAGAGTTTAACAAACAAACTACGTCTAAAGCAGTGCTTATATTCTCATCTCTTGACAGAAAATGGATATTTAAAAGATCATCTATCAGTGTTCAAGGTAATCATCGTTAATTTGGAGACCATGGAGGTCAAGTACGATAAAGAGGATTGAGGGTTGATATTATTATGTTCATTGCCGGCTTCATATTTCACAATCTAGGATACCATCTTGTATAGTAGAGATACTCTAACTTTTAACGAGGTATATGATGCTCTTTATTCTAAAGAAAAGATGAAACATCTGGTCGTCTGATTTGAGGCCCTGATAAAGGGTCTTGTTGTTCATGAGAGGAAGATGGTTGGTCATGGAAGGAGCAAGATCAAGAATAAAAACAATGATAAAATTTGTTGGTATAGCAACAACAAGGGGCACATGAAGAATGATTGCTATAAGTTATGGAACATGAATAATTTTTCTACCACAATCAGAAGGGACAACCAGGAAATTTTGGTAATCTCAACATTGCAGAAGAAGACTATAGTGATGAAGATCTTTTGGGGATTTCTGATGGGGACTCCAAATCTGACGAGGATTCGATTCTTTATACGGCTTGCACATTTTATATATGTTCTAAGTTACAAGGGTTTTGTGGTGATAGAAAATAATGAACCCTGTAAAATAGCTGGTATTGATAAGGTTAGAATCAAGATGTTTGATGGGATGGTCAGAACAATTGGTTTAGTGAGACATGTTCCATGATCAAACAAAAATTTTATCTATTTGAGTACTTTTGATTCAAAAGGGTACAGGTATACCAGTGGAGGTGAAGGTTTTAAAGTTAGCAATGGCACTAGAGTTGTGTTAAAAAGACACAGAAAGTCCTAGTTACATGTTTTGGATGGTTCGATGGTCCCTTTAGGTGAAGCTACAGCTTATGATTTGATAAATGTTAATACAGATGTAGTTGGTTGTAGTCGAGTTGCTTGTTGTGATTCGAGCAATGATATTGGAGAACCTACTAGTAGCTCAAGTAGAGCTATTTGTGATCTTGTTGATAATATTGCTCGTGGAGATAATTCAAGCAGGTTTTGAAACTCAACTGGATTTGATATTGAATAGGATGATTCAACTAGATTTAGGATATAAGGAAATTCTGCTGGTAAGTAGGGCTTGAATTTTGTTCACAGTTTCTGAGCATTCAAGCAGGTTTTGAAACTCAACTAGATTTGATAGTGAATAGGATGATTCAACTAGATTTAGGATATAAGGAAATTATGCTGGTAAGTAGGGCTTGAATTTTGTTCACAGTTTCTGAGCATACCCATAAGGGGCATGGTAAAAGAGGTGGAGAATGATTTGTTGAAGAGTGAAGACTTAATTCCTTACAATGAAATTTGTGTCAAGGTAGAGTTTGTTATGTTATGACTCAAAACCCATGTGATTTGGAAATTTGGTTCATGGAGGAATGCTAGATAATTTTGGTTTCAAAGTTTGGATTGATAAGTGATCAAATTTCATTAAGGATTGAGATTTTGATTGGAAAAAGGACTTTGAATTTGATGAAAAAGTGTTTTAGTAGCAATGGAAATGAGATAGGGCACTGCGGGTTGTGTCGCCTAGGTATCGGTCAACGAAAAGGGCAACAACAGCCAAATTAGCATCAGAGCACCAAATGAGCTGCACCATAGCCCGGCCACTACGTCAGTCGGGTGGCACCCTGTGTGGACAAAAAGTCTTTGAATTTGTTTTCAATCGGGATTCCTGCATTTTACTTCATCCAAAACACCAAGATTTGGCTCCTACATATACTCCACATGGAGTAGGTACTTCAGAGGCTCAAGTAACAGTAAGATCACTATTATATACATTATAAAGTTTAGATGATTGTTTAGATTTAGATTTAGATTATCAAATCTTGTAAAACAATTTTAGTTTTTTGATATATTGAAATTCTCTTCCTATGCTCATGAATTTCTCGAATTTGGATACCTTGTAAATCTTGTGTTCTTGTGTGATCCATTATTTTCATATTACTCATATTATTCTGGAATTTATTTGTTCCGTTTCTCCGCACACTACAATGGGCGGGATAGTCCTTAATTATCCTCTCCAGAATGAACGCTCCACCTTATTTAAAGCAACCGTGTGCTCATATCTTCTCCTATTTATAATTGCTATAAACATATGAATAACCGACTTATTTATAGCTAGAGACATCTAGTATAGAAGTCAAAACTAAGGCTGGCAAAGTCCAGAATCCGCTTGACATTTCGACAAGAAGAGTAAGAAACTAAGATAAACAAATATAAAAAAAGAGGCAAGTGGGAAGACACTAGATGAAATACTAGGAATGGCAATCGGACTCAAGCCAAGCCACATTTTGGGACATCGACTTGAGCCCGAGTCGAACATTTTATGGGCCATTTGGTCGAAGCTAAAAGAATAATTCAAAAGAAAATTTAAAATTTGCTGCCGGCTAAGGCAGCTTAAAGCTACCTTTAAGGAAGAATTCAATAAATAAAAAAATATGCACATGCAGATTTGTTGCCGACTAAGGTAGCTACGCCTACAGCCTTAACGGGTAGCTAGCACCTGTTTAAGGCAGCTTTATACAAGCAGTTTATTAGTCAATCTATCAAAATAATTTGAAATTTTGAATTTAAATTTGAAATTCAAATTTCAAACGGTTTGATTTTTTTGTTATAAATATGGGGTTAAAATTTTCAATTTCATATCAATCTTCTCCGATCAATTTTAACTCGTAGTGTTATAGTTTCAAGTTTCAACTTCAATCTCTAATTTCTTTGTTCTAATATTTAATTTTTTTACTCTAATATCCAGTGTCATTCATTATAATAATTATAGAATATAGATGGATTTTATTAATTAGTTTAAGGGTAGTTCGAGTACTCCAGTTGGCTACGATGCATCTCAAAATGTTCTGATTGATTTGGAAGATATCGAAGAGGAAGAAGTACTCGAGACTTCTAAATGGTCGAAAAAAGAATCCTCGGATTGTTGGAAACAATGACATGTAAAAAAGTTGGTGTTCAAAATAGAGTTGATATTTGGAAAGCATGTTCCAATTACTATGGCAAAGAACTTAGTTGAAAACCCGGTTCAAGCACGACGCATTTGAATGGACACATATTGAGGAGTTGCAAAGCGAAACCAGTCGGTCTTGACCCAAAACAGACCGAACTAGTGTTTGACGGCTCTAGTTCTATTCTTTCCACATTTGTATATTCACAGGAAAGATTTCATGAAGGAATGGTTGCATACGTGGCTACAGCAAAGATGCCGCTTACGGTGAGAGACTCAATTCCCTTTACCCGACTCGTGCAGAATTATCTCCAACCCAGGTATGCTTCTTATTGTAGAAATACTCTTTGTTTAGATACTGTGAAATTATATAACAAAAGAAAAACAAATTTCTATTGAATAATTAAAAACTCTTAATAGTGTTATATCATTTACATCTGATTTGTAGACCGGTATTAATAAAACAAGTTATATTTTTGCTACAGCTCATAACATTGATCACCTATAGCTTCTACATAAAAGGATTATTGCATTCAGATATGTAGAATATTCTCATAATGCAACTAATATATACATAGTTTTAAGAGATATTATACAAGATATGGTTCGAAGTTTTACGTATAATAATGCTGCTGTGAATTAACTTGTTATTGATAAATTTATTAATGACATTAAGCCTGCATTTGGAAATTTATTTTTTTTTATCAACATTGTGTATGCCACATTATTAATTTGATTGTAAAAGATGAATTGGAACATATAAAATCGCCTATAGATAAAACTAGACAAGCAATAAATTTTATTATTGTGTCGCCAACTAGAAAGCAAGCATTTAACAGTTTGTGTGCAGAATACGGCATACAAGAAAAATCACTTGTCACTGATGTAACACATAGATGAAACTCTACTATCTTATGTTGCATTCTTGTGAAAATTATGATAAAGTTATTTTACCATATTATTATGGTAGGCATACATACAGACCCGAACATAATTAGGAAGATTGGGAATTGTCTATTGTATTTTGTGTAAAGAAATTTTTAAAACCATTTTCGATGCCACAAAGGAATGTAGTGGTATTTATCTTCACTTGTTTTACAACATTTTTTCTACATTGCTCAAATCTTTCATAAATCTAGGACTCTGCCAATTTTTATTGATGTAGTCTACTTGATGGAATTAAAATTTCATAAATATTGGGAAGAATTGCCCTCCTTGTTTCTTTTAGCTTCGGTAATGGATCGTTGACTTAATTTAACTAGCACAAAAGCTCTTATAAAGGAGATTTCAAATTTCATGAATTTGGAGTTATCACATGTGTATATAGAGTCTAAATTATGTGAAATGTATAATTACTACGCTGAAAAGAAGGTCAAGGCAGTTTTATTTTCCAAAGTTCTTTTTAAAGAAATATTTCAACAAATTCAGATGATTTATGGAATTATTTAGACACTAATACAAGTGTTCCCTCATTTAGTTCTAATTCATCAATATCAAGAGCAATAGATGTTAGTGGTACAAATCTTGAAATTCCCTCTGAGATAGCTAGATATATGTGCATGGATATTCGTAGTGGGTTACTACCAAAAAAATTACAGGAATTTAATCTTCTATCATGGTGGAGGTGTAATGAAAGACAATATCTAATTGTATCACAAATTGCATGTAATATACTAACACTTCCGGTGTCTGCAATGGCATCAGAGGCTGCATTTAGTTTAGGTGGTTGAGTTTTATTAGACGAACGATCAAGACTAAAAGAAGATATATTTGAAGCTTTAATATGCTTAAAAGACTGGGAATGTGAGAAACTACGTATTCAAGAAGTTGACAGTATAATGGATGAAAAGTTATAGCAGATTCAAACATAAGGACGTTGTAAGTTTTTAAATTGATTAATTTAAAAAAAGTATTTAATTTTTAAATTTATTCATCTCAAGAAAAATTGTACACGAAATATTTTATTCGTGTATAATTTTAACTCCGCCTACGTTGATTGTAGCCGGTCCCAAAATCGAAAAAAAGAGGAGGGTTGTAACTTTTATTCAATTTATAATTTGCAAAAATTGTACGAATTCATTTTTTTTAAATGTTAGAATTGTCACAAAGTAATTAAAAAAAATCGCTAGCCTAAAGCTCGGGTCGGTCCCATGTTTCTTGGCCAGGTAAAAGCTCGGGCTCGTAAAAAAGCTTAGACCATTTTACTTGAACCGAGCCCAAACCCCAAGTTTTGGCCTGCAAGTCGGTTCAGCTTGTTGACACCACTATGAAATACCCAGAATAATCTGGATTATTCCTTTAAGTGGTGATGATTTTTCAAACTTTAATGTATTTAATAGTGGAGAGAACTCTGTAATTTACTGTCAAGAATAGGATGAAATAAATAGATCTCGTCCTACTGTGAATGTGAGGAATTTACTAAACTGCGTAAAATGACTTGCACGTTCAGCATCTATTAATGTTAAAAATTAGAGTTCAATCTTAAAATATCAACTTTATTAAGAGGAATAGCTCAAATATCTTAATCGAATAGAATTGTTAGTTGGAGCTTAGTGGGCTCCTTTATTAAGATTAGTGGTTCTATCTAAAAAAGTCAACTTTATTAAGAGGATTAGATCAAACCCTTATAAATTCATCTATATTTTCATCTTTACTTGACGTGGAATTTTATCTCTCAACAAATAATTCTCTAATTCTTTGTGTTTCATTCACTCCTTTCTACAGTTCATTTTTGCATAGATTTTTTGGGCTTGTGGTGGTCTTGTTCGTTACACAACCGATTCAGACATCCTTTAACTTTGTATGATAAAAAAAAGAAAAGCAAAAAAAAAAAAAAAGAAAAAGAAAAAGAAAGAGTGCATTCTTAAACTAAGTGGATGTCTGATATGAAGAATTATAGATTAATGAATGTTCTCTAATATACAATGATTAGTAGTATGTCATCTATCACCAATCATTTTATTCATTATGTAGATATTGCCTAACATGAACTCTATTATAGGTGTGAAGGCTTCACATCAAGTAAGACAAAAAATTTATCAAGAATAGCCTAGAATAGAGGACAAGGCAAATAATCCTGGTACAACGAAAAAGTGGAACGAAGTAGTTGCAGGAAACGGTGAATATAACGGAGCTCAGATTTGGATGAATATTGTGGAAGAGAAACTTACCGTCAGGGTCCCCCAAGAATGCTGCCTTCTGAAATAACTCCAAAGAGTCAGATGAGCCTAAAGGCTGCACATGAACAAATCCATCCGCAGATAATGCTACTTCACTTAACCGAGTTGTCAACAGTAGTTTGCTACCATTTTGAACATTTGGGAAAATTCTATGCAAGAATTTCCAATCGTCCAGTGACCGTATGTCATCCAAAATAAACAAGTATCTCATACCTTTCGCATATTTGTTGAAATATTCTGCAACTGTTTCAAGTGTTAGATTTGACTCTGAGCGCTTTATTCTCTCTTTCCCTTGGGGAATCTGTTCTAAAATACTTCGAAGAACGTTTCTTAGTTTAAAGTTCTGGCCAATTTCTACCCGAGCACAAATGTAAAAGTGGTTCTGAACGAAGGGATTACCATATAACTTAAGGGCTAGTGTGGTCTTACCTATGCCACCGCTTCCATATATGCAAGTAACTCCTTCTTTACCATCAAGCAGAACAGATTGTAGAGCTGTAATTTGTTCATCCATCCCAACAATATGGTTTTCTCGAGAGTCGTCAGAGATGCTTTTCCTCAACTTTTGTCGGTTCTCAGTTTCTGGATTCACATTTGCTGATTGAGGTCTTTTTTTTTCTGTCTTAGTGAGTGCTGATGCAGTAATAAAATTATCAATGATCATCAGTATCTGGAAATTAATATCTTTAACCTCTAAATCAACCGTCCAGAAGAATTTGAAAACATCAATGAATTTTCTAATTATGCTTCTGTCTCTTCTGAGTTGGACCTCGTTGAAATAAATTTCATGGACATTCTGAAGTCTAGAAACAAGGTCTCTAGTGTCTATTTCCAGGTTATAATGTAAACTTGACTCCTCACTTTTTCTCGCATCTAGTTCTTTTAATATGGAGAGCCACAGATTTAGCTTCGCTTGTACATCCTGAATTCTTTTCTTTATATCAGGAAATAAATTTGTTCCAAATTCTCGCAACAATACCGCCGATTTCTTCTGTTCATATGCCTTGATCAATGCTTCAGCCATTTTCTTTCTCACAGCAAGGACCAGCGAAAGATTCTGAAATTTTGGTCAGATATTTCTGAATATTGTCAAGTTACATTCCTCTTCATCGCATCGCACCCAACCTAGAGAAACTGTAATAAATCAATGTGTACCTATCACAATAGAGAAAATGTTGGATAACACTACTTATATGTAATTTTTTGTACATCAAGATATCCATACACTCACATGAGGTGGGGTCCACTCGAATAAAATATTCAAGCGGGCCCCACCTCTTTTGAGTGTGGGACACCTTGATGTACAAAAAATTACGTACACTAAACAAAGCCCGAAAATGTTTATCCCGTTAACTTCTCTGGTCTATTTGCATTCATTATTCTTTTTTGACAAAATCTATAACTACATTAATAATCCATGACACCACGAATTACGGCTGACAAATTTAATGGATTACAGTCAATTCAACTAGTGATGCCAGCAAAGGATATTACAGTGTGGGCTACTTTATCCCCTCACGGGGAATAAAGCAACAAGACCACAACTAACATCACCAAGTAATGCTACAATAGCATAATTTCATTCACCTTTAATTTGTTTATATTTTGATCTCAAATTGTAATTCTCTTTCCATGAAAATTCATTCAATGTATAGTTAAATAGAGAGGAAAACAAAAACTTTTTGAGACTTGGTTAAATTGACACAAGAAAGAACTTTTCAATAATAGTTGGTTTAAATATGATCATTGGAGAGAAGTGATTATGTAACGCCCCAAAAATTTTATAGAGTAAAATTTATTCTGTATGCTATATGTTTATAATTTGAAAGTTCGGTGACTAAAGTGAAATAGTTTAATTTTAATTTTGTTTCGGCCAAATAATTAGATTTTGATAGTGGAAAAATAAGTGTATCAATATTGGACTCTTTTTGTAGATCTTAATTAATCAGAAGTCTTCGACTTGGGAAAAAGTTATTTTGGATAAAAACATATTAAATTAAACTTAACTAAAAGAAAATAAGATAAATAGAATTTTACATAATTTATAAGGGTAATTAGCACAAAACGTCCCTACCTTTCGATGTTTTTGTAGAAAACGTCCCTACCTTTCGTTTTTTGGCGGATTACACCCTCACCTTTACATTTTTTTGCGCAAAACGTCCTTCTGTCAAGTTCCCGTTAAAATGTTCCGTTAAATCAATAGGTAATTAGCACAAAAGGTCCCTACCTTTCAATATTATTGTGCAAAACGTTCCTACCTTTCGTTTTTTGGTATAATTAGCACAAAAGGTCCATACCTTTCAATGTTATTGTGAAAAACATCCCTACCTTTTATTTTTTAGCATTTTCACCCCTACTTTCACCTTTCATTGCAAAAAAGGTCGTTCTCATTTATTTTTTCAATAAAATGACGATTTTACTCTCATATTCAAATAAAACAAAAAGAAAAAGATGAATTACCAACTGCAACCGTAATCCTTAAATTTTTAAAAAATTACAAAAAAATCATAAATTCTCAACTACCACCATTTTCACAACCTATCAAGCTGCCAACTATAAATCCACATAATATCACCTTTCGGCCACCATGCCCACCGGACTCCACCAACGTAAATGTGGTTGTTTCGGACAAATTGATGACCAATACTATGGAGGAGGATATTGGGGAGAGTGAAGCGATGCTGGTAGTGGTGGAGTCCGATAGGTATTGTGGTCGAAAAGTGGTGCTATATAGATCAATAGGTGGTGGCTTGGTGGGGTTGTGAAAGTGGCGGTAGTGGAGAATTTAGGATTTATCTGTAATATTTTGAAAGATTTAGAACTATGATTGCAATTAATTAATTATTTTTTTCTTTTCTTTTTGTTTTATTTCAATAGGAGGATAAAATCGTCATTTTATTGAAAAAATGGATGAAAAGGACCTTTTGCGCAATGAAATGTGAAATGTAGGGGTAAAAATGCTAAAAATGAAAGGTAGGAACGTTTTGCACAATAATATTGAAAGGTGGGGACCTTTTCTGCTAATTATGCTAAAAAATAAAAGGTAGGGATGTTTTGCACAATAACTTTGAAAGGTAGGGACCTTTTGTGCTAATTACCTTTTTGATTTAACGGAGCATTTCAACGGAGAGTTGACAGAAGGACGTTTTGCGCAAAAAAAGGTAAAGGTAAGGGTGTAATCCGCCAAAAAATGAAAGGTAGAGACGTTTTCCACAAAAACATCGAAAGGTAGGGATGTTTTGTGCTAATTACCCTAATTTATAACCCAATTCAATTTTCTCTTCTTGGAACTTGTAATATATTTTTATATTAACTCTAATTCCATTATTTGAAAGTAATTCTTATCCAAATTCTATCTTTATGGTTGTTAGTGAATCTACTTTTGGTAAGTATTAATTTTATATTTTATACCAATCAAAGTAGTGGTATGATTTGTTTTATCAAAATTTAATTCTTATCCAAGTTTGATACACATTTTCTTCCATCACAATTGTACTAGGACTCAACTACTATTTTTTTTACTATAAATAGTGTGCAATTGCCCCATAATTCTCCACCAAAAAATTGTACATGACAAATAGTAGGGAGAGAGAAAGTAATTTCGAAAAAGTTAGTCACGATTTTATTGACGCAGTTGAGAAAGTAGAAAAAATATTGGAATCCTTTCAAAAATTCATTTTATTTAACGAGGTAAAATACTTATGTACAAGTAATTTGTTTCCTTATACTTTTATGTATTCAATTAAATGTGTGTGAATTATTAGTGGACATTCTAGGTCTTTATAAAGAAAGATGAATTCCTACGAGAATTTAAGAGGACTTATATACTCAATAAGAGAAGAGTGGCATGAAGTGTTTATTTATAGTTGTATAATTGTGTATGGAAACTACACGTTTCTTATGGGGTAATTTTTTAGATACCAACACTTACAATAATTTTTACAACTTAGTGCAAGTCAATTGGATCTGTGGCTGTGCGGTGATGCGGCTGCAAAGTTAATCAAAGAAAAAGGGAGAAATACAGTATTAGTTTTTTCTACTTTTGAATTTATCAGTTAGTTGAATATGTTTAAATTTTTTTAAAGATAAATTCCATATCTAGCTTTAGATTTATGGATATTCCAGTGATTTTATTTTTAAAGAAATTTATTTTGATAGTTCCACCTTCAATATAAAGAAAAGAAAGTTTTTGGTGGCACATCAAAGTTTATGAAAATTTGGGGGTGTAACAGATTCAATATTCAATTTCCATAATCAGCACATTTTCAATAAAAAATGTTAGATTTTGTAGATATTTCAAATGGCCCACATGCTACGAATTCTCATCTACACAACTCATACCACCACCAAATACTTTGCCGATATTATCTAAAATTCATTTCAATCTCCTCAACATTCTGTATTTATAATTTAATTCTGCTCGTTTTCACCAACAAATTGAATTTGTGCAAAATCGCATTTTTGCAAATATCAGTGTTATTCTAACTGATATCGAACCACAAACAGGGATTTTTCTCATAAAAGCCACTAATATACAGCTTCATTTGAATTTTTGTTTGCTGAGAAATAAAATCCATAACTAATCTGCATATGGCATACGAGCATAAGTACACTTACTTGGAGATGACAACATAGAATCTCTGTTCAGTGCCTCCTTCAAGATGCAATCAGTCGTAAGTAAGGTTGCACAGTTGACAGTACTGTCTTGTATGAATCAATTTTTTTGCTAAAAGTCTTTACTGAAATAGGCTGGCCATATGGATAATGTATGCCAATTATTTCTATTTTCTGGTTGACTGCAAAGTCGTCTTTTTGTCCTTTATGTTTCTTAAATGCACGTCCATGTCAGTAATAACAAGTTGCATACCTAACCTGAATATTAACATGTGCCCGTTAAAAAGTCTAGTGCTTTATCGTGGATAAAAGAAAGTATCTGCTCTCAACTTGGAGCAATAGTTTTCTAATATATAACATTATTCTACTGTGAAAGTTAATTAGATATTTGATTTAAGACTTGGTCTCTAGTATATCATGATAAACCATATACATCAATATAAATTTAAACAAGAAGAGATTTCATTTGTATCTATAAAAAAAATGAAAACTTGTAAATACAAGAAGAGATTTCCTACCTACACCCACCTTTCTATCTTCTTGATCGACATGATTATTGTCCGTTTGGCATGACTTTGGAAAAGTTAAAATGAATTTTCAATATTTAAAAGTTATTTTTGGATCCATTTGATTAATTTAATAAAAGTGTTTCTTCTAAGTAGAAGAACTTTTAGTGAAGCCAATCGAAAGATCTTTTAAAAAATAATTTTCAAATAAAAATTAATGTAATATCTTTTGATGCTCTTCTATGAGATGCAATACCAAAGTAAAAGTTATGCTAAATGAATGTCGAGACTAAGTTCACCCATTACCACAAATACCTCATTTATGTCACCAACTAATTTTATAATAATATTAATTGTGAGCACCTAACATCTATAATTAATATGATAATTATGACATGCGATCACTTATTTATTGCCCTTGTCATTCTCTAGGGCCCAATGTTGCATATTTTTTTCACTTTCTATAGCCCAATGTCACCAATTAATCTTATCAGGATTATGCTGTTTGTACATGTAGGGCTTTCATAGAACACCTTCAGAACACATGCAATAAGGGATGGGGATATTTTTTATGAGGTGGTTCCCACATGGGGGCCCATCTATTATGTGTGTTATGGAGGGGTTCTGTAAAACATCTCCTGTACAAACAACGTAATCCATTTTATAATACTAATTAAAGTTGAACGTGTATTATACGTTATTCTAAAATATTCTATAAGTGATGTAAAAGAAATATTTGGTATCAATTTGTTGGAGAATTTGATAAGTCTTGAATGAATTAAAGAAAATAAAATTTAACATAGAATTTAAGAGAAGAAAATTGTACTCAAATTGTACTCTTAAAAGTCAATTTCTATGATTCAAATTTTTTTTAATGATGAAATACTATAAATGAGCAATCTTTTTATATTACATTTGATACATAAAAATTAATTGTTAAAACATTAATGTAATCACCAATTAAAATTTCTAGATATATGAATACGAATAAAATTCATCTATAATAACTCTAAATTCATATAATTCAAAATTTATCAAGTGAAAATTCATTAAATCTAGATTAATATGAATGTTAATTAATTGAGAATTAATAGCACAAATTTCATAAAAGACAATAATTATGTAGTATTTATTACATATTAAAAAAGAAAAGTAAGATATTATTGAAATAATTAAATAGTAGGGAGTTAAAATCTTCCAAAAAACAGTTCTCCTATAATGTAATCTTTAATAGATAGATTAATTGTCAACACCTAACACCTATAATTAATATGATAATGATGACATGCGATCACATGTAAACTTTTTCCAATATTTTAACGTCATTGGCTTACGGTGCAATGTGAACTTTTAAAATGCAAGCCCTTTCACGGCAGAATTCAAAATTAATTAATTAATTAATTAAAAAATTATATATTCTTATGAAATTTAGAAACTATATGGAAACTTTGCATACAAATATTCAGAAATCTTACCAAAAATACTTTAACTATAGAGCCAGGCTCTATGTACATATTTGATACTGATTATTTTGACGTTCATTGTACTTTGCTATTCTGTGAATTGAATTAACAAGTATATATTTCAAGAAGGTTTATTAATATTGTTCTTATTTTACTATCATTTAAGTAATTTTGGTTAACTTATTCCTACATTCATTGTATTTTGTTATTATGTGACTTGAGTTAACAAATACATATTTCGAGACTTACTGAAAGAGTTATTAATATTGTTATTATTTTAGCAAGTTGGGTTAACTTATACATACGTTCTTTGTAGTTTGTTATTCTGTGAATTGAGTTTATAAGTCATGAATGACTTAAAGATTTATTAATATTGTTATTCTCTTAGCAAGCTGGATTAACTTATTCATATGTTATTGTATATTTCTATTTCATGAATTGAATTTTAGGTACATGTTTTGTGGCTCACCTAAAGTCGCTTGATATTGTTCTTACTTGACTATTATTTTATCACGTTGGCTTAACTTATTCCTATATTCATTGTATTTGGTATCATAAATTGAGTTAATAAGGATGTATCTCGAGATTGACCTAAAGAATTATCTATTATAAATTAGAGAGAAAAATAGTAAGGTCAATAGATTTGTGTATATTTTTTGAGATCTAAAGCCTCATATTTATAGAAAATAATTAGGATAGTAAGAAATACAATAGTCATAGCAATTACGACTGAAGGATATAATGATTATTCAATAATAGACATATAGTTCACGACACATCTTCTTAGACGACTCATTGCATAATATCTCTCCCCTTAAAACCGTGCTTGAAAAATTAGTGGGGCAAAAATATCAAACGAAAGAAAAAAGAGTTACTTTTGGAGTATTTAATATAAATAATGTCTTACTAAAACTTTGCCCAAAAAATTTAGTGGGATAAAACATAAATGAAAAAGAAAAATAATACATTTACTATCCTTTAACGTAGACCACTAAAACTTTTGAGTCGACGCAAATCTATCTCGTGTACCAATTTCTATAATATATACGGAGTTAATTGTTTGAATACTCACTGAACTTTAAAGGGCGTCACGTTTCACTCACTGAACTTTACTTTGCACCCAATTACTCACTGAACTTTGTAAACTTGCACTCCATCACTCATTGGGTTAAAGAGTTAATTGTTTGAATACTTACCGAATTTTACACGACGTCATATTTCATCCACTCAACTTTACTTTGCACCCAATTACTCACTGAACTTTGTAAATTTACACGTCATCACTCACCAGGAACCGTTTGTTCTATTTGCCTATGTGGATGACGGCTTTAACACGTGGCAGTTAAATCAAACAAACATAACAATAAATTGCCAAATCATATATCCAAAAGGACCCAAACATGCCTCACTGCACATAAATCGCGATTGGAACCCTAATCTCTTAAAATAGGCCGCTTCGAAGGTGAATTTTAGTATATCGCGATTGTTGTTTCTTCTTTTTCGCCTTTACTGGGTATGACATTTTTGAGTGAAAACGGTGAAGCATGTTTGGGTCCTTTTGGATATATGATTTGGCAATTCATTGTTATGTTTGTCTAATTTAACTGTCACGTGTTAAAGCCGTTATCCACATAGGCAAACAGAACAAACGGTTCCTGGTGAGTGATGAAATGCAAATTTACAAAGTTCAGTGAGTAATTTGGTGCAAAGTAAAGTTGAGTGGGTGAAATGTGACGTCTTGTAAAGTTCGGTAAGTATTCAAACAATTAACTCTTTAACCCGATGAGTGATGGAGTGCAAGTTTACAAAATTCAGTGAGTAATTGAGTGCAAAATAAAGTTCAGTGAGTGAAACGTGACGCCCTTTGAAATTCAGTGAGTATTCAAACAATTAACTCCAAAGTTCAGTGAGTGAAACGTGACGTCCTTTAAAGTTCAGTGAGTACTCAAACAATTAACTCAATATATACGTTAATAGATATGGAAACATATTTGGTTAGGGCATATCCTTCAAGCTGCAACCAGTCATCAGGTTGCACAGTTCTAACTTATAGGAATTATATATGTTGGAGATTTTGCTAGAAAACCAGGGCTACCTACGTGGTCCTGTTTGAGAAGAATTGTTTTATATTTTGTCCTAAAAGTCTTCACTGCAATAGGCTGCCCACATGGATGCAATTATTTTTAATTTCTGGTTGACTACAAAGTCAATTATTATTATTATTATTATTATTATTATTATTATTATTATTATTATTATTATTATTATTATTATTTACTTTTCATACTTAAAAGTGACAAGATGCATACCTAACCTAGAGGCTGGAGATTATTTACCGTGGGAAATTACCACAGTAAGTCTCAACCCTTAATGTATAGCTAACATTTTAATGGAATTGAAACTCTAAGAGTGGCTACATTGACACCATAATATTTTTTAGTTGCATCGCGTTTAATTATAATAAAATTCCTCATTCTTTGCTAATTGTTGTACAAATGTCCCCACCATTTTTTAGTGGAATTGTTAACTTCAGTCTTGCATGAAATTTAACATATGGTACGTGATGATAGTTTCTATACATATATTTTATTAATGTGCTTTGAAATAAGGGGCAAATAATACATTCCATTTTTATATGCTTTTTTTTAATTTGTGTTTTATTGCTAATTTTAAATTATGAGGGACAAATAAGTCTTTTTATACCGCTTTTGGATGGAAATCATCATAACGTATAAGATTTTGTATTTCATGGAAGGCAAATGATATAAATGAGATGAAAAAAGTTGAAGCCATAAGAATAATAATGAGCAAAGATTGAGAACTTGTGTCTTGTAATGAAATTAATACAGTGGTGCTGCTAAAGAAAATGTAGTGGCAATTTATTCTCCCTTTTAAGTTAACTATGTTAACCAATTATCAAACTTCATCATTTATAAATACTTGCTAACGCTAGCTTGGCTTCTCACACGATTTTATGATTTTTAACTTAAAACATGTTCATTAGTAGTGCATAGTGCGAACTCAAGAAAAGTGTTACAAATAACGATCAACATTCATGCCACCAATCTCTGTAAATTTAAATAATAACAATGTTTATCAAGATTTAAGATAAAAATGTGGGCGTAGGATAATATTACAAAACAAAAAATATGTAAGATTATTGTAGCTTATAAGT